TCTTTGCTCTGATACCAAAAATGTAATGACTTCTTTCTACTAGTATACTTTAGAATATATGCAATAAAAATATACATACTTAGCATATGAAAATAGTAAAAATAATTCTAACAAAAATTAACTAAGGGCTATAAAACATAATTTAAATTACGTACATACCTCCGTGTGGGCGTTACAGGGTATTTCGGTAATCTCACAGTGCAATTAAATTTGCTGAGATTGTAGCCTTTATTTAATTTAATATTAAAATTAAATAAGTGAGATTATATTTAAATATGTGTTCGCATATATTTAAATGAATTATTGTTATTGTTAAATGTTAATATATTATTTATATATATTAATTGAATTGAATTGAAATAATAATAATAATAATTAAAATATCTAAATGGGGCTGTTTGGACATACGGGTTGTTTGGGTTGGTGCCCAAGCCTATTCCATGATGGAATAGGGCATTGTGTGCACTATATAAGTGCAGGATTTTTTGTGAAATAAAATAATTCATTCAATCATTTTGATTAAAAATTCCAACCCCCTTTTATCTCTACCCACGCCAGATTGCTTTTGTGTTGAATCAAATATCACTTGATTCTTGTTCTTGGTTTTTAAGGCTAAAGAGGATCTAGCAAATCCATCTTTAGTTCCTTGGGGTTATCTTCGTGTGGACTACCGTTGATTCGATCCTACCCTTGGATCGGTAGCAAAACCCATTCAGAGACAAGTTGGAGGAGCCTTCAAACGTGCGTATGATTTCTTAACTCTAAACTGATTTTCTGTAGGTTTTGATTTAATGTATAAACTGAAAATTTGTGCCCTGATCTTGGTTCTAAGGAACGATCTATGTTATATATAATTTTTGTTTTCCGCTACCATGACTTGATCGTTTCCTAACATTACACACTTTCGATAATTCCTTGATTTGTTCTTTTTTTTCTTTTCTTTTTCTTCCTTTTTTTTCTTTTTTTTTATTGTTTATTTATTTATTTATTTTTTGAATGAAACTATAGTTAGGAAGTAAGGATATTACAATCATTCCCCTTGTTACCTTGATATTCACAATACACCATAACCCCCAACCAATTATTTTGAATACCCTTCAAAATTTTGAGAAAGACACTTTAAGCCACACACAAACACTCTCACTTTCAATAAATTCATATTAAATCCTCTTAAAAATCACGGGTTGAGTTGTGTGTTTAAGGGTTAAAAAGGTATGTTATTGTGACGTAAATGATAGAAAATCAGGGCTTATATAAATTCAATATTGGCACAACGGGGTGACTAGAGATAATCAAACATAGGGTTGGCTTGAAAGGCACAAACGGTCCAAAGATGGCCTAAATCATTTCTTAAGTCATGTGTCGTCTAGGATTTCACCTCAAGTGGTCATCAAATAGGTTCTAGAATTTGGGGATCTCAACAATGTCATAGGATAATCACACACAAAACATCCCTAAATGCTAGAACTAACCCAGCTTACAAACCACATTCATGAGAGTCTCAAACTTAAGCAAAACCAACATTCAAAATTATTCCTAAACTAAAGTAAAATTTGACTTGTTCTAAATGTCTATGTCATTGCAATCGTGTTGTTATCATTGACATATAAATTAATTCAGAAAAACTGAAACACACTAAATTAAAAATAACATGAAAACACACCAAATCTCAAAAAAAATTCACAAAAATTAAAAAAAAAAAATTCAATTAAGAGAATTCAGGAAAAGGGAACTTCCCCACCCCCAACCTAAAGCCTACATTGTCCTTAATCTAACAATTAGAAAGAAAAAACAGAGAAGCAAAGAGAAAGTTACCCCCCTTTTAGAGACATCACCAGAACCTGTGTGGTGCTGTGGTGCCATTTGCATCACGCCGTGGCATGAAGTTGCTGCCCAAATTGCTTATGTCTCTTCCTTGCTCCACCGCAGCATAAATATATTGCGCCGAGGCATGAAGTTCTTTTCCTATTAAACAACTAAACCATAAAATACAACGAAATAACCTAAAACAAAACAACAAAAACATTGAAAACACTTGAAAAACTAAAGAAAATAAAACCGTAAATGAAATTAACATAAAATTCAAAGTAAAAAGTTGGGTTGCCTCCCAAGAAGCACTTTATTTAACGTTTAGGCTAGACGGCATGCGTGATCTATCAGGCTCAATCATTGGAATATGAGGGAAATGCCAAGGAATTGAAAACTAAGAACTCCACAGTTCATCCAAAGCTATCATACTGAGCTTGCCATTCTGAACATCAATCACTGTCTTAGTTATAGCCATAAATGGGCGGCCAAGCAAAATGGGAAAATCTCCATCATGAGTTGATGGCTTCTCCATATCTAAGACTACAAAATCAACAGTAATTATCAATTTATCAACTTTAACCAAGACATTCTCTACAATACCTCTTGGATATTTAATTGAATTGTTAGCCAATTGTAGAGACATTGTTGTTGGCTTTAATTCCCAAAATCCTAATCGTAGATAAGTGGAGTAATGCATGAGATTAATGCTTGCCCCCAAATCTAGCATTGCTCGTTCTTCCTTTTCATCACCCATGGTAAAGTTGACGATGAAGCTACCTAGATCTTTCAACTTGGGTGGAAAATTCCTTTGAAGCACAACACTTACCTTTTCTGGAACCATAACTTTTTCATTGGGTTCAAACTTATGCTTGCAAGTAATCAAATCCTTCAAGAACTTTGCGTAAGCTGGTATATTCCTCATCACATAAAGCAAGGGTAAGTTCACATTAACTTTAGATAAAATATCATAAATTTCAGAGAATGACTTATCCCATTTGTTGTTCTTCAATCGGCTCGAAAAAGGAATAGGTGGAGCATAAGCCTTTGGTGGAGCAACGATGGGGTTGATCTCCTCATTTTGAATGGATACACTTAATTGCTTCTCATTCACTTTATCTTCCCCTACATAATCAATTAAAGGCTTATTAGATTCATAATTAATTTCCTTGTGAATTACTTTACCACTTTGGAGCACTGTGACTGTTTTCGCTGGCTTAGGTTGGCTTGGTAATTTCCCAGGAACATGACCTTGTACTGCCTCTGCTATCTATCATATCTGAACCTCTAGCTTTCTAATGGACGTCTCTTACTGCTGAAACCTTTGTTCAAAATTTTGTTGGTACTGTTGAGAAACGTTAATAAAATTATTCAGTGTCACTTCCAATGAGGGCTTCTGCAGTTGATTATTAGATCTCGCTTGTTGCTGATTGTTGCTCCAAGAAAAATTGGGATGACTCCTCTGCCCTGGATTATAAGTATTTGGATAAGGATCATGAGGCCTTGGGGGTTGTAGGAATTCATCATATTAGCTTGCTCAACAAACTCTGGAAAATTTCCACGAGAAGGACAACCATTAGTTGCATGACCAACAATACCACAAATAGCACATACCTCGTTGGAATTTCTTAGTCCTTGTCCCATCATCATGTTGCACATAGTTTTCATTTGCTTGGTCAATTCTGAAATTTCCAATCAGTGTTAGTATTTACTTCATATATCCCTCTAGATCTACCTGTAACACTTTTTTGCTGCGAGTTGGCTCCAAGCATCTCGTATAACTCATTCATCTCTTGTGTAGTCTTCTCTCCCATAGCATCACCTACAACATTATCAACCATGGCTTGACAAGCGTATGTCAGTCCATCATAGAAAAATTGATTTAGTAACTCTAAAGGATATCTATGATTTGGACACTAAACTAAAAACAATTTAAAATGTTCCCAAGCTTCATGGAATAGCTCACCTTCCATTTGTGAGAAGGTAGCAATCTTACCTCTAAATTCTGTAGTTTTGGCATGAGAATAGAATTTACCGATGAACTTATTATAAACTGCATCCCAGGTGGTAAGTGAAGTAGGAGTTAATGACATGAACCATGTTTTAGCCACATTCTTCAATGTGTAAGGAAAACAACGCATCTGTAACTGATCTTCTGTCAAAATCTGCAAAGGAAAAGTTTGAACAGTAGAATAAAAATCATGAATAAAGGTAAGTGGGTCCTTTGTGGCTATGCCATGGAATGACAATAACATTTGAAAGTGAATATGCTTCAGTTTGTTATTCCTTGCTACCTCATGAAGCACTCTGCAAGATGGCAAAGTTCCTATGGTAGGACATGCATACTCCTTCATAGGACAAGGTAGTTCCGCCATTATCTCTAGCTCTGACTTGAATCTAACAACTCTGAATCTGATGACTTTTCAGGAAGTTATGGTTCCTTCCTCTTTCTACCAATCAAATCCACTTTATCCACATATGGAACTAGTTCTTTATCTAGTGATCAACGACCTTGCATTCAAAAACAAACACACCAACGAAAAGAAAAACAAAAGAAAAAAAAAAACAATCCAAATAAAAAATAATACAAATTAAATTAAATAACAATAATTAAAGCACGGTTATCAAGAAAACTAAATAACTTAAAACAAATCCCTGGTAACAGCGCCAAAAACTTGAATAACATTTTTACTTCCTAGCAAGTGCACGAATCACTCTTGTAGTCTAGTGTGCGAAAGCAAGGGTTGATCCCTCAAAGATTTGTAAGCAATTTACTAATCCTAATAACTATGCTTCAATTAAAACTAATAACTAGAATTAATAATAAAGAATTACAAAAAATCACTTTAGAAGCAACAATTGAATAAAACTAAAATTAAATAACTATTAAAATTATCTAAGACCCAATTGACCAAAACCTAGGGCTTCAATTTCACCATAATTATCCAGCTCTATGTCAAATGTCTCTCTATTGTTTATCAATTCAGTCTCTAAGGTTCTGATTCACTAAATCAAGGTATTACCGTAAGGCGTTCGGGATTAACTTAGTATTTTTAACACAAGACTAGCTAGGGCGTATAGTCTAGCCTATGAATTAAAAACCCATTAAAATCAGGAGTACTCGAAATCATGAATAAAGGTGCACCTGTTGAGGCATATGCACAAATACTAAATCATTCAAGAATTCATGAACCAATTAATATTTTGTCAGGGCGTATGCACAAAATACTAATCATTCATTCAATAATCTCAACACAAACAACCTAATAATTCACACTACTTGTCGTCACACAATAATGAAAATTAAAGGTAGAATAAATACGTGAATGAATCTAGATTTCCATTGAATTGATAACAATAAATATATGTTTAAACATAGAGCCTTCCAATTAGGCTACATTAGATCCCTAAATAAGAGTTTAGTTACACATTGACATTAAAGAGAGCAAACTTGAAATTCCCTAAACAACATGAATAATCCAAACCCTATGAAGAATCTCCTTCTCTTTCTTGATAAAAAAGTAACTCTCAATTTTGGTCAAAGTGTATCCCTAAAATAAATTACAAAGTCCTATTTATACTTTTCCTTTGCTAGGGGTGTTTTTGGAAAAATACAAGTCCAAGTCGAAGTTGGAAAAGGTGAGGTTTTTATTTTTCTCGCGATCCATGCCACGACGCCAAATTCTTCCACAATCATAAAACTTTGTCACGCCATGGTGACAACTTCTTCATGCCGCGGCATGAACTTTCTGTCCAAATTCAACTTCTCACGCTGCGACAAAGAAAAATCATGCCGCGGTGCAGAAAAACCATACCGCAGTGCCATCCAGTAATTTCACATTCTTTCTTTTGCTTGACAATCTGACTTCTCTCTTTAGCACGTACAAAGCCTTCAACCACTGTGTGAGCATAAATTCATCACTTTTTCCACCTAAAAACATGAAACTCATACACATACCCGTGATTCTGGAAAATAGAAATATACAAAGAAACTTGCATAAAATTAATCCATGAAAGTCACGAGTTCCCCACAATCTACTCACAAAATCATGGAACATATATATCATTTCATCATTGATCACTGATCACCTCACCACGGAGAGGTAGTATGTCTGGTCTTGACCCTTCTTCAACTTGTACAAATGGACGAGCTCCTCAACAGATGGCTCGCCCAGCTTGGCAATCATGTACGCTATATACAAACCTATGATTATGATGTATAAGTTTGCAAACAGCTAAAGAGATACGATGTTGAACCGTCTCAACACGCTGTCGATGAAATGGTGAGGGGGAATAGACATCCCACATCTTAGAAGGGTCTTAGAGATCGCCACCCAGCCTTTGGGGGATTCTTCTGGGAGAAGCCTACCAAAATCCTTAAGTTGAGTTGAGGCCCATAAGTCACTTTTATGTGCCTAAGATCCTCGACATCAATTGAGAATTGCGGTTCCTTCCGTGGCTTATGAACTGGAGATCGCCTTGACTAAGCAACGTCCAAAAAAGCATGATCGGACAAGCCTGCCACTTTAGGATCTGAGCTCCGCTTGATGACCTCCTCGAAAAGCTTGGGGATTATGTCCATAAGAACTACCAAGGCCGTAGGGGAATCAAACATGCGGTCAATCGTGTGGCTGCTTGACGAAGACATGACTAAAGCTTTCCATTAGGTACTTGAAACATAAGTGAACATGTGTCAGAGCTCAAAAAACTTGGCAACCTATCCACACTTTACTTTTAGTTCAGGCACTCTAGATAGCTCGCATCGAACAATAGACACACGCAACCTATTAGAGATTTTGGTGGCCGCCATGATAAACCTTCCTTAAACCCATGACCGCCAATGACACGCTTAAAAACCCTAATAAAGCCTTAAAAGACTCAATGTGGCCACGGAAATGGCCACCCTCAAATGCAAAAATCAAGAAAACAATTAAAGGAAGGGAAAAGAAACTTTACCGGAACAAGAGAATAGGATGAACTCGCCGGAAAAGGCACCATGAAGATGAAGCAGCGACAAAATAAGTAAGAACATCTGAGAGTTTTTACAAAGTGAGTAAGCTTTTTGATGAGTTCCCCTCGCTTTTATAGTGCTTTGCATGGGAGACGAAAGGGTGGGGTTCGATCGCAGCCGTCAATCTATAATGAATCTCGACCCTCCATTCATTGAGCAATCTAGGCCTTTGAACTTGGCCACGTGTCAATCATCCACGAGGTGATCAACCGTTAGACTGCCATAATCATAACCGTCGCTGCACGTCACCTCAACTTCACATGTGGACAACTATAGTCGCCTACATGCGATGAAAAGTAACTATCGAAGGCTGCCGCATTTAATGCGACATGACCGCGTTGAATTTACATAACTACCCTTTCTTTTCAAATTCCAAGTTTGTCAAGAATATCATAGAGGAGAAAAGGTCCACGTGTGGAGTACGTTGATTAGGCATGAGTCCGACTCTCAAGCTCGACTAATATGCATCCAATGCCCTACCGATGAATGTCGAGCTTGATATCAAATAAAGCAAAAGTCTTCGAAGCTCAAAACAAGCACCGAACACTAGGGGGCAGATGTTGTGTTTGATTTTTCAACAAGCTCAGAGTATTTTGAGGTTATAGCCCGATCCAAAACTAGCTCAACTCTACCGATTGTTCAACCCAACACAAACTCGTCGAGTTATAGCTCGACCTAGCACAAGCTAGTCACAACCAATCCTTGCAGTTGTCCAACCATTCACAGATAACTTCAAATCCCAGATATCTCAAGAAGGATCAGATCGACAACAATCTTTGCGCAATCATAGCACCCAATTGCGACAATATTAAAGTTGCATTTCAAACTTAATTGTAATCCTTTTATTTTCTCTCTTTCCTTTGTACAAATTCTGTATATAAACCCCTTCCAATGACGAGAAAAGGCTTAGCAAATATCTCTAGGATTGTCATTGTAAGCTCTCACAGTGAATACAAGAACAGTGAACATAGGCTCAAGAGTTCAACTCGCCGAACTACTTTAAAATTTTCTTTGCCATTTACTTTATAGATTTATTATTTACTCAGTACCGGTTACCCATAATCACATACACATCAATTCCGATCCAGTCAAGGTCGATCGAATCACTCTAGTTGGTGTAATTCTTGCATCAACAATAACGAATTGTCTTTAAGTGATTTTAGGGTCCATAGTTATTTTCCAGATTGAGCTAATCTGTTATAGACAAGCTTCTCAAGCAACATAACTACCCATGACTTTTTCTTTTCCCTTTTTTGCATAAGTAACTCTCTACTTCAAAAAATAAAATTAAAAATAAATAATACATAGGCAAATGAGGAATAAATCAGTCATTGTTACCTAAATAAATCATTCAGTAAATATGATGTAATTGTTACGCCATCAATTTTTAATTTTCATTTTACTGATTCAAAGTTCTTTTTGTTACATAAATTTTATGTAATTAGTTTACTTGTTTAGGTATAATATTAATCATCCAATTTTGATATATATTTCAAATACGCATAAAGATTTAACTCTATGGGTGCGTTTAGTTCAGGAAATGTTGTATTATTGGGAATGTTATATTAATAGAAAGATAGATTACCTTAAAGATTACTGAGAATGTTTAGAAAAATGTGTTTGGTTAGGTTGAAATAAATTGGTGGGTATGCTATATTGATATGTTTGGTTGAGAGGAATAAATTGGTGGGTATGTTATATAGATTACTAAATTGCCCTCCTTTTTAAATATTAATAAAATATTATTTGTGTTATTATTTTTTGAATCATTCTTTTAACCCCTACATTTGAGATTTTGCAAAAACACTCCAGTCATATAAAAGTTTAATTTCTAACAAAATCAACCCCATCCACCCCAAGCCACGACCACTATCGGCCACCACCACCGGAAGTTTTCGTAACGATGCACGACTATCGAAAATGGCCAGTCATGCTTCGATATGGCCACGGATTTGGCCGGAAACAGTTAGATCTATTCCCTCCATTTTCGATCAAATCAATGGTCATTAATGGCTAGATCTGTAGCCGTTGCATGCCATGGATTTGGCCGTTAACAACTAGATCTATTTCGATGAATGACGTCATTTGGCCGTTAACAGCCAGATATATTCTAACTGGAATAGATCTAGTCGTTAACAGCCATGGATCTGGCTATTTTCGTCTAGAACTATGACCATCTGGCCATTTTCGGCCATCGATCTAATTGGAATTGGCTAGATCTGGCCAATCATGCGTCGTTGGTGGACGATGATGGTGGTTGGCGGGCGATAGTGGTGGCTAGCGGGTGATGGTTATCCTGGATGGCCTACAATTTGTTTTAAATATAAAGACTTTATTGTCCATAAACTTAATTAATTAGGGGTAAAATTGTAATGGCAAGTTCATGTAAATTAATTTCAAAATAAGTTTATTATTTCCAAAATTTTTAATAATTAAGGGTAAAATTATAATAAAATTAAGATTACCAAGTAATTTTAAAATACTTAAGAAAATGGAGACGATCAGATTATCATCTATATAACCTATAATAATTATTATTGGTTTTGAAAGATTACAAAATTTTTATACTACTTGATAACCAAACGTTGTAATTTAAGTAATATAAGAAGACATTACGTCAGTAATAAGGAATTACCCCCAACCAAACATACCCTATGAGATAGACCAAATTTTTTTATAAAAAATTTATTGTAGTATTACTCGTATACTAAAACCTGAAATTTCCCAAAAAGATAAACCAAAGAGCAAAAACGACCACGACCACCAAGTCAAGGCCAAATTATAAAACTGTATCAGTCAGTCACCACTTAGACTAAGTTTGTAACACTACCGGTCCTCCCAGTATTGATATTTCAGCCCAGCCAGTCCAGTAACTTTACTGGGCCGGGCCCGTACTGTAGTTTTATTAACGCAATGTAATCCTTTATCAAGGATGTCAGAAGCTGCAGATTTCAAGATTTTAGTTTAATCCTCATTTAATTTATCAGGTATCGAAATCGAGTTTTCCTCGTGCGTCTTAAAATGGTTTGTTAAGTTAATAATTTAAAGGATATTCAAACCATTTACACAAAATCCAAAGTTGAGTTGACTTACAGTTACCCAATATTCCTTACCTGAATTTAACAAAGAATGTAGGTTGAGACCTTCACCTCCTAATTTCCCTCTCAAACATAACTCATATTTTCCTATATATATATATATATATATACACGCACTTTATCAACGGACACTTCATCATTCCGCAATTTCATTGTTTCGGTAAGAAATTTTCATATCATGTCTTCAAATCATACCAAATGCTCAGGCTTCGTATGTTTGCTTTTGCTGTTTGTATTTCTTCTTTTTAGAAATGCAGATTGTGGGCAAATTGTTCGGACCTTGCCAGGCTATACCGGTACTCTTCCTTTCAAACTTGAAACTGGGTAAGTAATGAAACTTTCACTTGACATTAGTGTTGTGCCGGTTTGTATCAATCAAAGTGAAGTAAGTTTTAAGGGGATTTTCAAAACTCAGATATGTGAGCGTGGGGCAGTCAGAGATCTTCTACTTGTTCGTGGAGTCGCAAGGAAATCCTGAAGTGGATCCTGTTCTTTTTTATATAGTTGGAGGCCCTGGCTGTGCGGCTTTGAATGGCTTCTTCTTTCAAACTGGTATGCTCATTGTCTCTTCATATGATTAATTTCAGAATGCTTTAACTTATTAACAATGGCCTTGATGTCTGTAATAATTTTAGGCCCGCTACAGTTTAATGGAACTGATTACACTGGTGGCTTGCCATCGTTACATTTGTACCCCTACACATGGACAAAGGTGCAAAAATTTTCAGCTATTTATGGCATTAATTTCATTAGCAAAATGATAGTTTATGATTGTATAATGGTGATAAATTTTATGCAGACTGCGAGTATAATATTTGTGGATGCCCCTGTTGGCTCTGGTTACTCCTATTCAACAAACGCATCAGATTACAGTATCACAGACTTAGAATCAGCAAATCAATCTCATGTTTTTATAAGAAAGGTGAGTGAAGTTCTTATGAAATAGGAGTAACAGAAACACCATAGAAGTTCTTGTGTACTAATTTTTCTTCATTTTGAATTCAATTTAGTGGTTTAATGAGCATCCTCAATTCATCCCAAACCGATTTTTCGTTACTACTGATTCTTATTCCGGTATACTCGCTCCAATCATCACACAAAAAATATTGGATGGTAATTAATTTCCCTGCATCAAATTCTGTTTTCTTCACCTTGTTCATTTTAGTTGATTAATTTAGCTAAAGTGTCAACTATTCATCACTTTTGCAGATAATAAAGCCGGAGTGGAGCCAAAAATAAGTCTAGTGGTAATGATCTTGAACACATACTATAGTTTAGCCTGTTTGATTCATTGTATTATAAACTAAAATTTCTTTTTCTCTGTGATAATCAGGGAATTATAAGTGGCTCACCACATACGGATGGCAAACTTGAAGAAAATTACAGAGTACCTCAAGCTCATCTACTCGGACTTTTATCTAGCAGTTTGTATGAGGTGAGTATAAAACCAACAAATTGTATGACTACTAAACCTAAGCAAAAAGTTATAATTTGTTTTCTTCGATTTACAGTCAGCGAAAACAAATTGCAACGACACTTACTATGATGTGGATGCTAGTACCGTGAGTGCGGATTGCCTTGAGGATCTTGAAGAAATCGATAATGTCCGATGAGTGATCAATTTGTTTTCTTTTCTTAAACTGAACATGATTTCCTTTTAGGCATTGATATTATTTAAATTTTGCAGTGCCTTGAACAAATAAATACGGAAATGGTGTTGGCCCCCAAGTGTGCTACAATAGCACCCAGCTCAGACTATCGAAACATGAGAAGATCTTTGAAAGAAAAATCAAGACAATTTCCCCTTCCATCATCCAGATCAACTGACTATTATTGCAAGGTTTTGTCCATCTCGAACTGTTGGTTTTGCTTAAATAATTAGTTAATAATTTCTAACTTTTTATTATTTGTTTTGCAGGATTTTGGTTATCTACTCGCTGATATATGGGCAAATGATAAAGGTGTTCAAAGCACTCTGCACGTCCGAGAGGTATATATTTAACTAAGATTCGAGAATAATATGATTGAAAAAACTGTTTCTAATTGTTTATAATTGCAAACAGGGAACCATTCAAGAATGGCGAAGGTGCAACCTTACGTTCGCTAGCAGTACATATGTATATGATCTTATGAGTGTGGTTGCCTACCATAAAAATCTCACTAAAAATGGCATACAAGTTTTACTTTACAGGTAATCTTTTATAACTTGCGTTTGATAGTTTATCCATGCCTGCATTTCTCTAAACTTTTCTATATATTTTGCAGTGGTGATCATGATTTGGTTGTTGCACATACATCAACAGAATATTGGCTCGCTGAACTCAATATTACTTTGGATGAAGATTGGCGACCATGGTATGTTGGTGGTCAAGTTGCAGGGTAAGTTTATAAGTTTATTTAAATTTGAACTTTCTTTTGACTCAATATGAGATTACATCCCAAAATTATGATACTGCATTTTCTATTTAGGTATACAATGAAGTATACAAATTATGGATATCGATTGACTTATGCGACTGTGAAGGTCAGAACGTACTTTTTATGTTAATCTTTTATTCAATTTGTGAACAGATTGAAACCAAATTGAAGCTAATGTTATGAGTCATTTTTGTACAGGGATCAGGCCATTCTCCTACTGAATGGAAGGGCAGGGAAAGTTATGAGATGTTTGAAAGATGGATCCACTTTTATCCACTCTAGTTAGAACTTGTCTGCCACCATTGTAATGCCCGGACTAATAAACACTGAGATTAACATTGTGGGCTAAGGGGGCAGCTGCCTCTGAATTTTGGAAATCCTTTTAGTCTTGTATTTTAACTTTATTACAATTATGCCCTCTTTATAAAGAATAATTCTCCTATTGTTTTAGTATTTCTTATGCAAAAATATCAATAATCTTAAAATTTTCATTCTGTTTATATGTATTTTTACATTACGTGAGTTTATCTTTGTGAAACCTTGTACCCAATGAACGAAAAATATAAACCAGGTTGAGATGGTACTGAAATAATTAAAAAAAGAAAAAGAAAAGAAAACTAATATCTAATAATTAAACAAGATAATTAATGTTGTGCGGTAAAAATCCCTAGCTTGGACTAAGATGAGGATCCCGGGGCGCACCCTTGCGTGGAGCAAGAATCAAGCCTAGGAAGCAGAGGAGCTCAGTAACGAGCGCAAGCATCCAACCCAAGCACATGAGCAACATGTGACAAAGAGGGACCCACCAGATGAAAATATCTTCTCCAAAGGGATAGATCATCTCACCATGTATACTTTGCATGCAGCGACCAACAACATGCTGTAGGACATAGTCTATAGGTGTTCTCCATGCACCTCAGTCAATAGAAGATATGTATAGACACCTATTGGCAGAGGGGACACCATTATGAGCTATGACATAGGAACATGTGAGCCTCCGACATCGTGGCACTCACTTACCTTCTCTCTATATAAAAGCCATCACGACCGAGAGAGAGGGGGGGATAGACACAGGTAAAATAGAAGAAAAATAGGGTGCAACACAATTCCGATTCAGAAAAAATAGGGTACAACACAGCTCTGATTCAAAAAAGGGAGGAAGAGATAGGAATTCCAAAGCCTTCCTCTTCGATCCCAAGGTCTCCGGCCACTCAATAGGCCGAGATACATTTTCTGATCACCAAAAAACCCATCTTATTGTATCCCTAAACAAACACAGTTAAATAACATAATAGTCGACGTAGGCCTTATTCCCTTTTCGGCCGAACCACTTTAAAAACGTTTGGATTTCTCTTTAGCTCTCTCATTGTCGACTGGGAGACCTTCCATTGCCTTTGCCACTCATCGCACGTGAAACGGGTCTCTTACGCTGGTTCTTAGGAGCCATGCACCCATCTTGCTCGATTCTTTCAAGAGTCAATCTAATACCTCAAGTTGGTGTGCTTATTCGCCCTAATGCTCTAGTCGGTGTGAAAAATTGGATCTACATCTTGGCATTAGAAGGAGGGCCCTTCGCCCTTGAATGATTTGATCTAAGCCTGTTCGACCTCAGGTAGCCATTACTATCAACGATTCGCCCTTTCGCAATGATAGTCGTCTTGATACTGCAATGGTCACTGATGCTACACAACAATCCGCTTCAACCAGGGATACCCTCGACCCTCGTGTGCACAAGGATTAGCCTCCCACCAGTCTGGTCAAGGAGTAGAACGAAGTCCTCGTGGATCAACGTTTCCCCTCATGCGCCCTCAGAATAGAGTGTAGTCTCAAAAGAGAGATGCGCAATTGCTTGATCACCTTCCTAAAAGAAAACTTAGATGTTTTAGCTTGGGAACATACAAACATGACCAGGATAAACCCCAAGGTCATGTGTCACTGCATTAACATTGATCTTGCCTCTCATCTTATCTATAAAAAAAAGACGAGCAATGGACTAGGAATGGTCTCAAGTGCTCAAGGCGGAAGTTGATAGACTCTTTGAGATCAAATTCATCAAAGAAGTCAGATATGCAGATTGGCTCGCCAATCTAGTCCTCGTTAAGAAGTAGAATGGCAAGCTAAGGACATGTATTGAATTCAATGATCTAAACAAAGCCTGTCCCAAGGACACCTTCCCTATCCCTCGAATCAACCAACTGGTGGACGCAACCATAGGTAATGCCCTACTCAGCTTCAGGACACCTACTCGGGATACAACCAATCCCAATACACCTCGTTCATCATAAATTGAGGCCTTTATTGCTATAAAGTCATGCCTTTTGGACTAATGAACGCCAAGGCAACTTACCAGCGACTATGGACAAGATGTTCATCAATCTCATCAAAAGGACAATGGAGGTGTACATCGACGATATGCTGGTCAAATCATAGAAGGAAGAAGACCATGTAAAGCATCTCAAGGAAATATTCCATATCCTAAGAGAATACTGGATGTCGTTCAAGCCTTTGAAATGCGTTTTTGGGGTTGGTTCAGGAAAGTTCCTCGGTTACATGATAAATTAGCCAGGGATCGAAGCAAACCCCGAAAAGATCCAAACACTACTAAATATGAAGAGCCCAACCAAGACAAAGTAGGTTCAAAGCTTGACTAGGTGGATCCCAACCCTCAAAAGATTCGCCCCTAGAGCCAAAGACAGGTGCCTACCTTTCTTTGACGTACTAAAGAGCAACAAGAAGTTTGAGTGGACGGAACAATGTGAGCTCACCTTTTAAGAGCTAAAGAACCACTTCGGGCAACCTCCTCTCTTATCTAAATCGATCCTAGGTGAATCACTCTTATTAAATCTCTCTATTTTGTTACATGCCATCAGTGTGACCTTAGTCCGAGAGGAAGAAAAGATCTGGTGGCCAATTTATTACATAAGCAAATGCCTGCTTTTTGTGGAGATGTGCTACCTCGAAATGGAAAAGCTAACCCTAGCTCTCTTGACTGCATGCTGGAAGTTGCGACCTTATTTTCAAGCTCATACGACCCTAATCTTGGTGAACTACCCACTCCTCAAGATCTTTCAAAAGTCAAAATCTTCAGGAAGATTGATCCAATGGGCCATGGAGCTCAGCCAATATGATCTCAATTACACTCCAAGGACCGCCATCAAAGGTCAAGCGTTGGCAGACTTTATCTCAAAATACTCCTACCAGCTGAAGGAGAAGCTAATCCTATCAGAATCACCTGGTGAGAGTGAAACTTTATTGACCGAGCAAACACTAGAAGACTTGGTCACCTAGAGCCTATACATCGACAATTTGTCAAATGAAAAAGGTTCGGGTGCGCGACTATTGCTCGTTAGCTTGAACGAAGAGAAAATTCTAGGTGACGTAAGATTCAAATTCTCCGCTTCGAACAACGAAGCTAAGTATAAAGCTTTGCTTGCTGGCATATGGCTAGCCAAGGAAATGGGAGTAGAGTCAATCAATATCTCTAATGACTCTTAACTCGTGGTACTCCAAATCCTTGGGGAATATCAAGAAAAGGGAGAGAAAATGATCCCCTATCTACGAAAACTAATAAGCGAGTTGAGCACCTTCAAGCAATACTCAGTTAGACAAATCTTCAGGGAACAAAACTTTGTGGCTAACACTTTAGCTTGCCTAGCATCGGTGATAAACAACAGAGCAAATTCCATCCCCTTTAGATTCTTATCGTCTCCTAGCATAGACACGTCAAATCAGATGGTGATAATGGTCAAGCAAGAAGGTTCGTGGATGGACCCCATCATTGCTTACATAAAAGATAGGATACAGCTCGATGATAGATCAGAAGCCTGAAACCTCTGTGCCATATAAGCTTGCTACACTCTGATGAACAACAAGCTATACAAGTGAGGATACAACACCCTTTTGTTACGATGTGTAACCCAAGGTAAAGCAAACAACATCCTAACAGAGATCTACAAGGGCATGTGCGGGAACCACATCAGCGAACTATCGCTGGTCTACAAAGTTCTTAGATAGGAGTATTATTAGCCAACCTTCTATGAAGATGCTATAAGCTTNAAAAGGGTGTATATCCTTTTGTTTGCTCTTATTTTGTTTTTTGCTTAGTCCTTTGGGCCTATCCAAAGGACTTAGTATTAAAGGGGAGTCCCCTCGTTGGGCTATCATAATTTTTTATTCTTTTATAAAGTTTCCAGATTAACAAAAAAAAAAAAAAAATATCCTTGCTGTAACCATCAACCATGAAGTCTTTCTCCAGTTTTTTGGACGGGAAGCTTGGACAAGCTTTTACTATAGCTGTAGAATTTGAGAAGCTCCAATCTTTTTCCAGTTTGTGCATAATTTGAGTGTTAGAGTAGGTGCCCTAGAACCAATCCATTATTATAATATTGACTCTTTGTAATAATGTTTATAATAAATAAAAGACTTTTCTACATTATGTAATTCATATTCATTGTATGTTGTGATGTATGTCCTTAGAATGGTAGAACCGTGACGAGGGCATTGAGTGTTTCAAATCTCAATAGTGACGACCTTATCATCACTGGTGGCCATTCTAGAAATGTCTATCGCCTCAGTATTATTCTGACTAAGGACACAAGTAATACAATAAGCCTATCATAGTGTTGAATGACCCTGTCAAAAGGTAGTAACTAATCTCACTTGTAGAGGTTGTTTGCCAACAACCTGATGCAACACATGGGTGCTTGCCATAGGCGAGTTCACTGCACAAACCCATCAGAGGATTCCACATAGATGGTAACCCCAGTGTCTGTGGAACAAATCCTCTAACGGATGGTGATGCATGTGATCTGTTGACTTGAGATCACTAGAGCGCCTGAAGCACCAACTGATTTAGTTTCTAGCCTAATGTAATTCTATTCAGAGCTATCAGAGCAGTAGTGATTGGCTATATCAAGAATTGTATCAAGATTATCTTACTAAGCAATTCAGTAAAATGGCAACGACACTAAATCTGTGGCCACAATGGGATTGAGCTGTTGCTCAATTTAATCTATTCTAGTTGTTGGTCCAATAACCAAATACAAAGAGATCAAGGACATCTAAGGTTGACACTATTTCTGTACCTCAGTCTTGATGAGATAATGTATGATGAAGGGATTTGATTGCACGATAACCTTACCGTTGATAGGTAGTTGTTTCGTTGAATCCAAATCCATCGGGTGGCCATGATGCCTTGCTAGAGGCTAATGTTGGTATGTGTGTAGTGAGACAATTAATTGAATGTTAATCACGATACAACTCATTGCCAATATGATAAGGAGCTTACAGGTCACACACTTAGAAGATAATTTAATAATCAATATGTGAAAAGGTTATTTTTGTTTTTTAAGATGAAATAGTAATTTGGTAATCTCACAGTGTAATTAAATTTGCTGAGGTTGTTGCATGTATTCAATTTTAATATTGAAATTAA